ACTGTATACATTAACTTTGTAGTAAATTATTATTTTTTTTTTTCCTCCAAGAATTTATAGATAAAATATATTTAATGGCAAGAAGAACAAATTCCAAACATTACTCATATTGCCATATAAGCCTAATGTGTCCCCACGAGCTGAGCAAAGAAATGCAAACGTTTGTGATACTATTAAAACATATAAACATTTTAAAACTTAGTGAGTGTTTTGACGCTTCATATACCAACGACATTTTTTCAGTCTTTCTTGTTTTCCTTATTTTTAATTATTATAGTTTCAAAATGTGATATGGGTTCTCATCGACCCGCTGTGAAAGCTATGCTTAGTGCAAATAATAAATAACAATAAAAACGTTTTGATGAAAAAAAATGAATATTTCCATGTTTAAAATCTAGAACGTTCAATATTGTGTTATAATATTATAGAGTTAGGTACTTAGAAATTCGGCGCCTACAAATAAGGAGCCTATATTTTATTCGGTCGTGTTTTTCCCGGTCGTTTTCCACACAGGCCGGAGGACGGCGACGATTCCGCCATATTATTATTATTATTTTATTTTAATCCCCCGCCCACATTTTTATAACTATTGACGTTTCGACTAAGTGTTTTCCAGTGACGCGCATCTTATAAAAAATATAATTTGTATACGATCGTTATTATATAATGCGCAATCTTATTATTAAACGGTTTCCATTAGCACCGCGTATACTCATTGAATATTATGTGTATTATTATTTTTTTTTTCTCTTTTTTCTACTTAATATCGCCATTATTATACACTTTTATTATATCATACGCCCGCCGCCGCCGCCGTCTTTCTCGTCTATTAGCATTTTATATCGTTCAAATTACGCTACGCGCACACGGCCGGCACTATGTATTTCACAATAACTAACCGATCCTGCACGGGGATTTGCATCGTTCCGATTACGATTATTGTTATAGGTGTATTTTTTTTCGGCGGGGGAGTAAAAGAAAAAATCCGTAAAATAAAAATTACACGTTATCTTCCCGTTACAGGCGCTGTTTAAAAAACTATTAGGCCCGTCTGCGTGTATAATACATATTATATATGTACTCGCGTATATATGTTTATTTTTTTCGTCGTCGCTAATGTATACAGTTGGGTTGATATGCGAATTTTAAAAAACTCAGATACATATTACACTCGAAACGCGTTTCACGAGATTTCTTAAACGACGTGCCGTGTAGTCGGCTTACTTACTTTAGTCGGATTACGAATAGACGTAATAGGTAGGTACCAATACTACTGGTGCGCATATTGATATCGATTATTATCTATTACTCGTATAAAACTATAATATCAAATTATCGAGCACATTTACTGAAAAACAGCTCGAATCGTTACCTACGATGTAGGTACTTGGGTATACGTGTATTGTGTGTATAGCTGCAAACGATTATATTACATCAGCTGTCTGCGCAAAAAAAAAACCGATTGTAATCAAAAGTTTTTGTTTTGCACTAAATTGTAGGTAGGTATAGGTCAGCGGTTCCTAAACTTTTTCCGCGGTGCTTTTTTTTGGACCCGATTTAGCCACGGGGCCCTGCCTGAATAACATGAAAGACAGAACAACAAAAAAAAATACTCATTGATAACCGTAGACCGCAGAACGCGGTGCCCCTAGGGCAGGGGTCGGGAACCTTTTTGTAAGAAAGAACCATTTTTTCGAAAAATTACAAAACCATGATTTCCAGGGAGCCACACAGGTTTGAACAACCTTTTTTTAGTTGTAGTTGTTATTATAGACAATATATTATAGAATATTAGAATAAACATAGTATTATTATTTCATTGAAAAATTGGTAGGCATTAAAAACATAATGATACGTCTTCATTTTAGAAAAAATAGAAAAAATTCGGTTCATAATTCATTATCATTATTATTATTGTTTATACAAATATAATATTATTTAATTAAATATGTACAATAACACACGAAAAAACGCATCTACTTAATATTAGTGGGGATTTTCCAAAGAACCTTAGGTTGCATATTAAAGAGCCGCAGGTTCCCGACTCTTGCCCTAGGGTACCTCGGTGCACAGTTTGGGAACCACTGGTATAGGTAATAACCTCGACAAATTTTTCTTGAACAATCGCTTATAACAATATCATAAAGACGCATATTGTTATATACATCGAGTTTTAAATTTTAATATTGTATGATTGAGATTAAGCCTTTGGCTTAACGTCATAGTATTTGAGGTGACGACAAACATTGTGTCATACTGTCACGTATTGTATTCATTATTGAATGGGACTTTTGGGATTAATACGATCGGCTGCAGGATTTCACCTCCCTAATGTCATCAATTCCTATTTGAAATCCCAACACCAGACAAATGTCGTTAGGTATCGTTTTATACATTTTTAGATTTTTTTCATTTATTGAAGTTTTATCTAGGCGCATCATATAAAATGTTCCTAAAATCCATAAAGATGGAATTACATCACTTGTCGATTGAATACTTCTTAAATACATTTTCAATTTCATAATATATGTATGCAATAATTAATTTTTTTGCTTCAGTTGCAATAATTTACTAAATAATTGTACTGCAGGAAGACGCGTATATGTGAAGACGTAAAACTAAACAACGACAAACTAAATACATGTAAATTAGTAAAATAATATTATTAAGACATATTGTTCAATCAAACAGGTTTGAATTATTATTGGAATTAAATCTTTTGTTTAACTTAATAATTAATATTATTTTATGCGATGAAAAATATTATACAATCTATAATAGACTTTTGAGATTTCGATAAGACGCAATCGACAGTTTTCAATAACAGCGTGTATGTACATATTATAGGTATGTAATAATATGCATAAATGTCGGCCACAGGATTTCATCTCGCCAATAATGTCTTAAATTCTCATCGTTTTTTAGATTTTTATAATTCATTTCATAATAATACGTCATGCTTTGTTCGTATCCGATGAATATTTCTGATATCCTTTCAATTGTGTAATATTTATTGACTATTGACATAAGACGAAATTAGGTACATTTTTTAGCTTCAGTTACAACGAACTCTGTTTGCTGAGATATAAAACTAATCGTAAAGTATATACTTCGTATGAAAATGATAACGTAAGATTAGAAGTTTTAATTTTTTGGAGGGGACTCGATTATTGTTATTGCCATGCTTAAATTTTTTTTTTAAATAAAAAATTAAAAACTTTATTTACAATACTTAATGATATAGGGAGGTGGGGTATATATTTGTATACGGAATTTATAATTTAATTTAAACAACCACTGCAGTTTCAACGGGCCAGCTCTTTTGTCGGTAGTTTTTATTTACATAATAAAAGAATATCAACAAATTCTTGCTGTATCCTTTACTTAATATATTCTGATCGTAAACATTACACCCTTCTCCAATACGATATACACATGTACACTTTCCCAACACACTATAAGCGATAGACAATCATACAAATAAATTTTAAAAACGCATTGATTTCGAAAAGCCAAAACGGGTGGAATCAGATGATTTAAGTGCATTTATTACTGTTAAAGCTGGACGGCTTCACCCTATAAATTAGGATTTACAAGTGAACTCCGTTTATTGTCATGGCGTGAAAAAAACAACATCTGGTCGATGGTTGAATGCTTTATATCGGATACAACTTGATTTTTTTTAAATTGGTTAATGTGGAAAATGTGGTTAAAAAATATTTTGATGTAGGGTCCGAAACAAGTGTTTGCCGTTCAGACCACGTGCACCGCCAGATTACTATACATTATTACATTAATGGGTGACTCGAATTGTGATAAGATAAAATACATAATATTTGCAAATGAGTAATCATGTAGCAATAGTTTTTGTTGGTACTTTCTTAAATAAAATTGGAAAATAAATATTAAAATACATTTTTGATTTGATTCAGGTTTCTCTAAAAGTTTTCTTCTATTGTTTATTTTGAGTATAACAAAAATATGAAAACTGATCATTATACATTTGTATAAATTGTATCATAATTTAAAAGTTATGCTTTTGTTTTGATTATAACATATAATTTGTTCACTCATATCCAACAGTCATTTTAATGTTCATATTGTGGTTGTCACAATATCACATATAATTATTTTTAACTCTAAAAATAATAGCCGTTTTCGTCAATTTACCTATTGTGATCAACATATTGTGAAACAACATAGCTAGGGTCCAGTATAAAACGTTTTTTTTTTTTTTTTTTATTAGTATTAAAGGCTTCAACAGCTAGGTCATTAGCCTGTGGATGTGGTTACATTATCATTGATTAGAGAATATACAAATAAGAAAATTAATAACTAAATTACAGTTCATAGTTCATGCAAAAAAAAAAATGAAATATGTATGTATACGATCCACACATTACATACATGCATAAATAACTTAACTGTTTAGATAATGGTTATTAGATATTGTAATATAGATGGGATATAGGATAGGAACGAGGGAAGAGGTACCTACCTGATTTTAAATGTTGGTGGAAACAGACAATCAGTAGGTACATGCCAAATTAGATCGTCAATGTCATATTCTTTAATTTTAATGATCTACAGTTATTGATTTGTGTTATCGTATTACGTTCTAATTTTCTCCAACATAGTTCAGGATTTAAAGTTTTTACCAACATAAATTACATAATAATATTAATAGCAAAAATATTCAACTTGTAGACACCATTATTAAAATGTCAGGGTTTTTAATGCATATTTGAACCATTAAGGGCATGTTTAGTGATATTTTACAGCATAAATAAATTAATATTTCAACGTTTTCTAGGGCATAAAGTCACTAGCCTTAACTATAGACTTGATTTGCTACTTTATGGATTGTTTTTTTCTTCAAAAAACCCATTTAAAATCACCGCGATTGGTGGGCGGACCTCGTTCGCAAACAAAACGAGAAACGCGTCTGTGTTTGGACAGCAGCGAGTTTTCATCGGCCGGTGCACGTCGTGGTGCACCCGATCACCTAGCATTCGCGTAACCACGCCAAACGACACCGAACGTCGTCACTTTGTATCGCCATCACTACAACATAGAAAGGTCGTCCGACGACCGGACATACAACAAAACCACCTCCGCCAAACATACCGCATCGATGACGCGCCCGCCAACGGCGGTTCTATTTCTGTTGTCATGCGTCATCTCGATGTCGCCTGGGCCGCGTTTCACGGTGGTCACGGCCTCGTGGGTCGGGCACCCGGAATCGCCGTATGCCAATAGGATGGCGTTGTTTAAACACGTGCTACTCAACGACGCCCAGTGGTCGCCGGTGCTCAAACAAAAGGTTAAGTTGTCTGGGCTTAGCTTGCCGAAGTACCGCAGGACGGAATTCAACGGAAAAGTTCTGGACCAGATTCAGCTGGTGGCCAAGGACGATGGCCAGAACCTGACAGCCATGACAGTGCTACAGACGTTGATGGACAAGACCCCGTGGTCTGGCACCAATGTGAACTACACTGCTTATGTGCTGAGCACGTCGGTTATGTGTTTCACGTATAACAACGTGAGGTTTCTGCTGTCACAGGTAATCGACCGCGTTGGCATGTTGGCGCGCAAAATATGGAAAACCGACATAAATAAAGACGACACAAAGGACAAGAAGGAGGAGGAGGAGGAGGACAAAAGTTCCGACGTCAAATCCCAAGACCCGGTCGACGAAGGGATCGAAGACAAGGTCGATGATGCGCTGGAAGACTTGCGCATGACGCTTGGAATACTAGTGGACAAGGTGGCCGCTGTGGACGGTGAGCTGGCCTTCTTTACCACCGGGCTGTACGACTTAGATGGCGCGGAAAAGACCGACTTCGGTATATTCGATGTTTTCGAGATGATGAGGACAGAGGTGAATGAGAGGCTTGAACGGCACTGTCACATCACCCCCATTGAGGATGTATACGAGTACTTGAGCAAGTATGAAACTCTGAACGTCTCTCCAACTCCACCAGGTGAGCTCACGCCAAATGAAGATACACTGAAACTCGAGCTAAACGAGTTCAGCAAGATCATCGATTCAATGATAGACGTTTACGACGGGCTCAATGTCGAAACGTTGCCTATGGAGACTTGGATTCTAATACTCGATTACAGATTACCGATCAGCATGAACATAAAATTTTACATAGATGGTTATGAAAAAAATACGGTTGAACAAACTCCTAAAACAGAAATGTCGGAACGATTAGGAGAAGCGATTATTAAAGAAGGAAAAAAATATAAATCGGGTGAACAACAAAAGAATGTTTGGAGAAGACGTAAAAAACGGATCCCTCGTACAATGTCAAATGAATTATGAAAATCCCAGGGAGGTTGACCTGTTGAAGAGTTGGAAAATTTGCTAAATTTAAATATTGTATTATTAAAATACCTATATTATTATGCATATATTCATTTATTTTTTAGTAAAAATTTAACTTGAAAAATTTCTGTTATTAAGGTAAATTTATATATTCTCTACTCAATAATATTTAACTATATGGCATATATTACAATTTACAATACCTTTAAACAATATATTAAGCTTTAAATTTCACTGTATAAATGAAACTATACTCTTATTGAAATATAACAGCGTCAGTGTCTCACATTTTATTATTTTAATTATTATTGTATCACAATATTTTAGTTTATTAATATACTATAGGTACAATGTAGAATATTACAGCTCTTAAAGTTATTTTGTTAATTTTTATGAAATTGTGTATGTAATAAAGTATTATATGCGACATCAAATGGTTATTACTTCTAACCTAAACAAAGTGTTCACTGTTAATACCTATATTTGTTTAAAATTACCTTAGCACCGTGCGAAAATTTAAAAAAATGTGTTTCGCGCATAAATGATTGACATTATCATAATCTGATAATTTTTTTAAATCAAAGAAAATATAACATTTAAAACTCGTCATTCATTATAAAGTACGATAAAATATAATAATATGACACTAATTGCGGTCACTGAAGTACATTAAAATTATAATTATTAAGTCATAGCTACTCATGTATTATACGCACTAATAATTATTAAACGTAGTCTAGTGAGCCCAATTTTATTAGCAAATAGGAAGTAAGTAACGAAATTATGATATAATTTTGAAAATGTAGAACAAAAAATAAATATAATATTATAACACTTGGATTTTTATTTAACAAATCGCCGACTTGATTTTGTTGTTGGAATAATCGAGTATTTTTAGTAATAATTGTTCTGTATTTAAAGATAATAATACCTTCAATATTTTTCGGTTTATTTTATTCATCGGAAAGCGCTATCGACAACTACTACAGTTCAAAAATGTCTTCGGAAAAATATAGGAAATAATTATTGAAACTAATATTCTCCAAACAAATATTCTTCAAATTATGTCAAATGGTACAAATGCCAAATTAACAAAAAGAATAAAAATAAAAATATTCTGAAAACCTTATCATAATATACGATCAGATTTTCGTATACACACTAAAACTTAAAAGTTATGAGAAACTAAATTTGAATAAACTTGATTTTTCTGCAAAGGATCACAAAAACAAAAGTCGTAAATACATTCAACTGATTGGCTTCAAACAGTACATAGTTATAGACACTATAACTGTGATCAGATTTTCATACAGTGTATGAAATATAAAAATAAAAATAAATGTAAATATATTATTATATCCGGTATAATGGTGTACATGTAATATTAAGGCTAATATGCTACAAAAAATTATTTTAATATTATATGAAATGGAAACGGTTGACATAAAAAACGGTCATTTCTTTTTTTACTTCTGAGATATTATAATATATATTATGTGGCCATAATATAATATACTGAATATCTAAACGGGATTTGGATGGATATTTTTTTTCAATGTTGAATATTTTCTGCTTATCTAGAAACACTTTACAAAAAAAAGAAATAAATTCACTGCTTAAAAGTGTCTCCTTCTGCGGGCAACGGGACTTCACTTGAACAAATAAACAACAATACCGTCTGCAGTAAGTCGCTCGCGATTATTTCATACATTGCTTTTCGTCATGACATTTTGTTGCCACTGCAATTAGGATTTGTTTTTTGAGGCCATGTTTGCTTAACACGTGTGCTTGGGGGTATTCCGTGGCAGCCATCATCTGCAAGTGTTCACACTAACATAACGACGACATTCCCGCTGAAAACGTATTCGGGATCCGGAGCACTCTAATCGTGTGAACAGCGAAATCGGTACCGACGTGACACACAGGAGATAATCATCCTCTGTCCTCGCATCACCATGTCACGACCGTCGCCGTGGGCCATAGTCTTACTGGCGTGTTTTTGTTCAGCAATCGGTTCCCACCCTAGGTTGGCGTACGAAAAAAAGTTGGAGCTGCTGTCGACCATCATCAAACAAGACCCCTTGTGGAGGCATTTATTCCTTGAGGGCGTCGTCTACAAGTTGGACCGAACTTATTATAAGGACATCATCGAAAATGAGCTTCTAAAAGACGCTCGATGTGTGTCTGATGGAGGAGAGACGTCCAGTAGCACACCATCCGGGCCCGATACCCCGGACCGCATTATACCGTATGAGTTTGTCAGAAACATAATATTTAAACGGTTCGTGGTGGGAAGCATTCTAGACATGGGCCTAACAGTACTGAAGATATCGTTCAAGTGCTTGCTATACAAACACATGGTGCACCTCATCAAACTGATTTATGTGGAGATGAAACGCAGTGACTCACAGAGGAAGGCGGCCAGTTGGTCAGGAAAATCCATGGATATCATCGAGTCGATACTGATGACAATGGGTGCGCTCCAGTTCACGGATGAACATGTGCTTGACACGCTCAGTTTCTTTGACATATACAAGACGAATGGCGAAGACATGGCGAAGGATGTCAGAGACAAGTACGCTGCTCTGCTGGATGAAAGATCCACAATAATGCTGAATTACGTGAATGGCCATTGCGTCGTGAAACCCATACCAAATGAAAATAAAAATGAAATGGAGAGGCAAGTGGCTGGTATGATTGAAGTTTTCACAGTGGAAAATCTGTACAATATTGGTTTATCTTTTGCCGTCTCCAAAGACTACAAGAAAATGATCACAAGCAGCCGGGAAAAGCTCATTTCTGCCTTCGGCAGTGCACCGCGGATCAGAGGTATGTCCAAGGCCTCGTGGGACGACATAGTACACTTCCAAGCGAAGTCAAAAAAAAGATTAAACAAATTGGGAAAATAACATAATATAAACGTGTGATCTTGTTTGTATAGTAAATTATATTATGCATACAAAATGTAAACATTTATAGCCTTTATATTATAATTTAACTTATAAATTCAATAAAAATATACATATTATAACTACCAAGTATTGAATAATGCCATGATATTATAATTGTCTTGGTCGTATTATAAACAATTTACAGGTCAAAATGTGGCTTGGTCTACCAATAATATTACATGTTATTTACAGTAATAGTTTAAAATGATAAACTGTAATTATTGTAGTTAGTAGTTACATTTTATTTTACTCATAAAATATTTTTTTGGGTAGCACACCACACCAGTTCAACAAAATTCCATCAGAATTAAAGTTGTCAAATATTTTTAATTCCGATCGGTCCTCAGATGACTGATATCATCGACAGACAATAAAATATAAAGTATCTAGTTCCCAAGTTTTCATTCAAATTATCATATTTGTACCAATTGTCGAATGGTAGTTACGTATAAGTTTAAACGCTACCAACTAGTCCACCACATTTTCAAATTTTCATTTTTCACCTAAATAGAAAATAGAAAATTACGAAGGCCTGAACATACATGAGTACGATTTAATGTCGTGAACAGTAACGAGAAGTTGTAGTTTGCATAATTGGCGTGATGTTATATTCAAACGGTTCGGAATCAGGAGTTCTAGTCCAATCCCATAACCATTTAGATCGTGGGTACACTGTAATTTCCCGTGAATTATTTTTTGATTTTTATTCTATAATATTATAAGATGGTCGCCAACAGTCTTTTCTGTCTAACCAACGTCCATTCACTCATAGGTCTATAATGGTTGGTAGTGTTAGAAGATATTGGGATTCACTAATTGTTTTATCTCTAGTTACTCTTCAAAACAGTATAAAAGAAACCTTGTGTTGTTATAGCTTTAGTTTTAGGGTGAATTGATCTCTTATCAGCCTTAAAGAGATAGACATTATCGATGTTTGTACGTTATATTTTTTCGATTTGGCAATTCCAAAATAAGATATGATCGTTATTTTTGGACTTTAATATCTTGCATATTCCTAGCTTGCACATGAATTGAAATATCGTAAAAAATCGAATGTATTCACTATCCACACTAGCTGTGTTATTGATAATTGGGCAAATACCTACTAAGCTAATAACACAAGGTTGGTTCAAAAAAACGCAAATTTGCTGTGTTGCTTCTTGGTTGTAGTTCTTAGAGAAAATAAAAATAGCACACTGATAACCTCCTTGACAATAAATCATAGGAAAAAAAATAAAAACTGGATATTTTATAACTTTATAATAATATAATATATACCTAATACAAAATCAATCCGAGGTTTTGAAGTTCAACAATTTTCGATCTGGACTACTGCGCACATGCTATATATGGTTTACAGTGTGTATCTAGAAAATATATTGCACTTATAGAATTTTACGTAAGAAAATATTTCTATATTCATGACACACGCCGTATAGTAGTTGAGCGTTTAAATATCGATTCGGTGCACCAGACGTCGGTAGCTTGCAGCTTGTACGGTTTGGTGTGTGAAAAATAAAAACTGTGCAAACAAGACTTGTTGTTTCTTTTTCTTTTTTCCTATTTCCTACATGTTATATGCTTCATTCGTAGCTCTTTAAAAAATTCGAAAAATATTATTTGAAAACACGGTGACCGAGAACGTGGTCGTCAGCTCATCCGAAAACTGCGGAGGTCTTAAATCCGTCTGCCATTCAGTGAGCGCCATGATAAGTAATAGCTTTAGTCACGCAATTTCCGGCACGTCACTATCACTGGTGCTACTGTTTTTGCTGCAGCCGCTGTGGGGCAGTGGTAGTGGCGGCGTGCTCGGCTTAGAAGAAGAGAGCAGCCAGATAATGGACGAAATTCCTGCCGCGCACCGGGAAGGGTTGGAGTTGTTGAAAACTGCGCTGGCCATGGACGTTCAATGGTCTGCATTCTGGAGTGAAAAGATCGATTCAAAGTTTATTGAGGAATCTGATCTGGTCCCAGAGTTCTGCCCTTCAATGCCCGCTTCAATGTTCGAAAAGAAGCCAATTCACTCGATGAGTGTCGTCAAGCAAGTCATGGAACACTGTCCACACTCAGGCATGTACGTGGATTTTGCTGTCAGTTTGCTGGCCCTCTCGGCCCAGTGCATGTTCAACAGACACGCTATCCTTCAGTTGGCTACCATAGAAAGTATACCTTTCAAAGCGATCACAGAATTCACCCAACACCTCGGACGCCTTTTGGGCGATTACCGGCAGATGGCCAACTCTCTAGCCACGGTCGGTGCGGAACTGCATCCCTTGATTGCGTTGTCCAGGTTTTTCAATGAGGTCAAAAGGCAGTGGGTCACTTATATCGAGGATAACGGCCACCAAGCAAAGTACAAGAGCGATCTTAGACTTGAGGTCGGGAATCTGGTTAATCTTCTGATGGACTCCAGTTTATATTGCGACAAGTCCCCAACAATATGGTATGGACTAAATAGTAAAGATACGGTGAAACTTGACATGCATGATATAGAACCTAAGTTCAGTGGGGAAGAAATAGACGATTCATTGACATCCACTCTGCCAGAGGACGAAGTTCCGAACGAACCGTCAGTGAGGAAAGCCCACAAGTTGAGATTGATATTGAAAGAGGAATTCGAAAAACTGCACCTCGGGAAAATACCACAGGAAGTTTGGGATCTGATGTTCGCAAAAATTATTCTCGCGAGACAGATTGAGACGGAAGAGAAGCTTTCTTTCAAGAAGAAAGCTTTTAAAAAAATATCTTCATTTTTAGGTAGACGCAAGTAATTGTTATTATAATAAAAGAAAACCATCAACAGTGCAACAGTGCGAATTAAATACATTTTAATGATGTGGTATTTATGTATTTTGTTTTTTTTTTAAATTTAAGTACATTATTGAACTTTTTTGAACTATTCACCTAGGTGTTTGTACGCTTTTATTTGTACAATAGAAATTAATTAATCAGCTATTCAATAATAAATAAATATATATACAGTATACAATTTATAAATGAAAATACAATTTTTTTTTGCTGAAAACTAATGTGTGTAATAATAATATAACCCTCTCAATTATATATTATATATATTTATGAGTTTCATAACTTTTATAAAAAAACAAAATAATTTTCCTCATGATAAACGGAATCTCAAGATACCTAAATAGATAAATGTATACACTGTTGTATTATGGGAATTGAACCAGATAACTGGAAAACATATTTTACAAACATGGTTATCAATCAGTTGTCGATCAAATAAATATCTTTAGAAAACCATTTTATCTCAGAACAATCACGCAGATACGTAAAAAGGTAAAATCGTAGAAATTGTCTACATATCGAGACGAACAGTATAATAATTACGGTTACATTGACACAGATTTTGTTTGTAAAAATGTCTGTTCGTATATTAAATTATGACTATTCGTCTGAAAAAATCAAATCTTGGAGTGATCGTGCTGTCACCATATATAGAGATTCTGTCAACTGCCGGTAGGGTTAAGTTTTAGCGGAGTCGGAGGTGAGTGAACTGGCTTGTATGCTATGTTTACAATTATAAGGAATATTGAAGAATAATAAACCATTGAAAGTATTTATACTTGACAAAAGAAAAATATCAACGGGTGTTAAATGATGGATCCATAACAATATTCAGTGATGATGACGTGTAATGTTTTCATTAACATGAGCTAATTAAATTAATTCAAAAATTAAGAACGTTGAGTTGTATCCTTGTATCTAAGTTAATAGTAAACATACAACATATTTGACATTAAAAGTTATTAGTTAATATGAGACGATTATTAACTCAATTCAGTGAGATAAAGGAGTTCAATATTATTTTCATTGTAATTAACACCTGATCCCACCTATATAGTGCCAATTCAACTTACATTTTTTTAAATTTTAACCAAATATTTAATTAAAAACGCATCTCATACTATTTCTTTATATAGCACATTTGTAGGTGTAGCGGTGTAATTAATTTGAGTATTAGACGTTTGTATCAACTACACTGTTAAGACCAGGCATAATTATTATTATTCAACTATGATATGTATTTAAATAATTGTGTATAAAAAATGATTATCTCATTAGTTAGATATGTACTTATACAGATATGTAGATATACTCGTAGATATATCGTGTAAGCGCATGGTCTTAACTGAAATACAGCTTTAATGGAAAGAGCTCAGTCGTTACAATGGATTTTTTCAGCACCTATATCCAGTAAAGTCTAAGATAGTTGACAAAAATGATCCTCTAAACTTGGATTTAACTTTTAATCTAGTCAATGGTCACGTTTTGATTGACGTGCTATAATTCAAAGAGTATTATATTACAATAGACAGTTTTATTGTAACAAACGACGATTACGCGTTCAACGGCGATTTCTAGCGTTGTCGAAATCAATATGTGCCCACAGCGGAATACAACGATCGGATCGCAAGCCGCAAAACGCTAGCTGTTCAAACAGACGACGCGACACGCCTGTGTTTACGCGGCGGCCCCATAGCCAGCGTTCGCGCCGCGAGCCTCGCGCATTCCGTCGCCAGCCGTCCTCAAGCCACCTCATCATAGACGAGAAACCAGTTCCGTTGCCGCCAAACATAACCCATACAGACGACGACGAAGATGCACGCAGGTAGAGGTGCAGCGCGACTGTTGCTGGTGGCCGCGTTCGCGGTGGCCGTGGCGGGCGAGGCACGGCTGAAGCGGAGCAAGCCGACCAGGGTGTACCGGCCGAACAAGGACGCGTTGCGGCTGCTCGATCACGTCATGTTGCACGAGGAACAGTGGACGGACGTGCTGCAGGAACCGATCAAGGGGCTGGACGAGCCGCCGCACAAGGGGCGAAAATTCCTCGGGATTCCCGAGTTGTTGCCAATAACGTCAGCGCGGACCGCCGAACACAGCACGGAACCGGTGTACAACGTGCACGACATCGTGGCCACGGTGGTCACCCATTACCGCGCCATCCGGTCGTTCACCGAGTACGGGGCCAAGGCTCTGCGCCGGGCGCTGGCGTGCTACACGTTCAAGCAGGTGTATTTCCAGTCCAAGACCATGGCCTTGATGATGTCGAAAAACGCCGAGCCCATCGTCTTGCTCACGACGGCCAGCGATCTGAAGAAGAACTCGTCAAAGTTCGTTGACATCCTGTCCGCCGTGCCCGACAACGATCTGACCCTGCTGTTGGACTCCTACTGGGTGGTGATCAAGCACCTGCAGTACGAAGGTGTGCAGCACACGGACAAGCCGCCATTCCCGCAGGAGGTGATAGACTCCATGGACGGCCTGTACAAAAAGATCGAAGTGTACCTGCTGTCCCACTGTGTCCCGTACGCGACCGACGAACAGTTCTTAAAGATGATAGGCATCCCGAGGAGTACCCCGATGATCGAGGACCCGTCCCTGCGGTCGTTAATTTCATTAGAAGAGTTGACGAGAGTCTCGAAGGAACAAGCAGAGCACATGGCCCGGATGGCCCGCCGCATGGGCAACGCCACCATGACCGACCACCTGTGGTCGTCGCTGTTCCTCTACCGCGGCCGCCCGCGGCCGGACAGCACTCGCTTGACTGTAGAAGACCCGAATAAGAGTGAAGCAAAACCGGAGACGAGTGAAGCCGGTGCGAGTGAAGAGCCTGCAATAAGACCCGTCACTATACACTAATATAATATTATAATATAAATAATTATTGTTAATTTTAATGTTAAGCTGTACAATTATTAAGTTTTCGAAACTGTTACTGAAACTGGTTTTTCGTTTGTAGTCGGAGATCATAACATTGTATCCACAGTCAATCAATATCAATATTTAAATAATATTTTGTAATATATTATTATACGTGTGAAACACAATAAATCGTTGTCCGAAATTGTTCATAATATATTTCATCGGTAACCCTAAACGTAAATTTTACGGTGCCCTCGAAAGACGAACAGACCCTTTCTGAAGTATAACTGTTCAAAAGCAAAAACAGCCAAAACGACGTTTGTTCGGAACATATATAGGTATCATGATACAATTAGAATTAGATTATTATAGTGCCTATACGATGTCATCTGTATTTTCAATTAGGGTTGAGCTGCAGTCGAAATGGATCGTTATTAAGTATTGTGAAATCTACCAACAATACTTTTGACTCGATTATACCATGACTTTTGTCAAGAGTGGGGCAAAGAGCAGAGCTCTCCTCTAGGCCCGACATTGCGTTCCATTTCCATAGCATAAATTTTAGGTACGCAATGTAAATGTATCATAATATTATGTTGAAAATCTAAATATTAATCATTTTTCTATTGTGAAAGAATCAAAGAAATAACAACAGCAAGTCGGAATGTTCACGACGTATAATATAGTATTAGTTACTTCATATTATCTATTTATCCGATTTGAGTGTTTATCGATATTATCTATATTTTATACTCCCTGTATGAATCTAATCTATTGTTTTCCGTTTTTCCCCAGTTGAAGTATTATAATTTAAAAAACAATAATGAGACAATAAATATATTATATAAATACAATCACAATGATTATTTTATGATTTGTTTCTACTTGGTATTCAGTGCATGTTCACCAGTATAACCCAGCTGGTTCATCTTGACACTTGAAAACCTTTAGCATTTAAAAAAAAAACCATTGGTCAGAAAAATACATTTGAAAAAAATATTACAATGAAGAGAGTTAATCTATTAAAAAAATATAGTTTTTGGATAACAGTTTTTTAAAGGCATGTATAAAAATGACTCGCTCGAAACAATTCATTTGTGTTTGAAAAAGTAAAAATTACAAACCTTTTTTTGCGGGGTAATCACTGGGTAATCAACGCGGATTTCTTCATAATAATTGTTTTCCTCATCTGTGGTTTTTAATATTTCATAAATCATCATAATACCGGAATAATAACATATTATATTTATACTTTTTGAAATCTTACAGTTTAATAATGAATAATATTTTGGTGACCAACACCACGATAATACGTGACACGCCGATTGAGAACCACGGTAATTATAACATTTAAATCTTAAATTAATATAAACGCGATATAGATAAATAGAATATAACAATAGTATATAGAATATTCAAAATTGTGAACGAAAAAACAGTTAAAAAACAGTGACCGTGCGCATATCACTTGAACAAAACAAATAACCGCCGATTTCCTCCTTTTTGTTATTATTTTATTCGTTATTGGAACAATATCGTTATTTATAAAGGATGTCGTGCACCCGTGGATTTGAATAGAGCGACAGATCGACGACGACGGAGACTGTCGATAGTAACATATTATATTATTAATTCATTATTTTTGTGCACCGTGACTGCATAGTTTTATTGTTTCTCTAATCGCTTCATTACAATATTATGCTTACAATATATTATTATAATATTACGATAATTCAATAGCATCGACGGTCTTAATACACATTTGATTGCTCGACCCGTCAGAGACAGTTATAATGCATATTATCGCGGCAGTGACGTACCGCCCCGGAAAGGGTTATAATAAAAAAAAACAAAAAACATTTTGGTCGTATTATATCTCCCCTCCGAAGAAATCATCCTAAATACTCTACCGAGTCATAGAGTATTATATATACGTGGTATTATGTTATGCAGTTGTACGCGGCCCGGGTAGGCACCGATGAGTTTGTCGTTTTTGCATATTATTATAATGCAACTGCACCTGTGCTGCAGAATGTGCTGCAGCGCGAGGGCGCGGGGCTTTACAAAAAAAAAAAAAAATATTTTATGACAATGCAACGAGCACATTTTGCAGTCTCGTCGTCTCCTGTAAAAAATATCGCGTATACCACATTACCACGGTATCTATACCGGGACGTATACGGTTTGTGTAATATCATATTATGCATGTCGCAACCCCGGAATCTCCAGGCGAGGCGCCGATGACTAGACGGATTTTTCGTCAGTTTCCAACCGTTCCGGCTACAAACCCTTTTGCGGGGCGGCGGCCATTTCATTGTTACGTACACATGGTATGTCGTCTGTATGACATTATTATAATCATTTACGTATTATTTATGCGCACATAATGGGTTAAACTACGGCAACGCAGGTTCGGGCCCGACCTTTGTGCGATAACATTTTTATATTGTATCATCGAGTCTGCGCAATCGCGCTCCCCTCCCCCCCCCTCGGAAACCAAAGGTTGTCTTCCCACGTCGACGACGACAATGCAGCGTTATAATATTATAATTATAACAATAATAATACATTTATACATTGTAATGGCATGCTACAAGTCCGCTGGCGGCGCCTTATCGGCAGCATCTATATTATAATATATACCCAATATAATGCGTATAATGTGTGAATATCGTAGTCGTATGCAATCCAACTCTTCGATTGCGCAAAAAAAAAAAAAATGTAATGCAAACAGTCCCACGAAAATCCAAATCAATTCGCATATAATTTTTTTAAGCTATTAAGAGTAGGTAGATATATATGTATATAGTTGGCGTTGACGAGTAATAGGAAAAAAATCATTCTTTAATAATAATATGTTTTATTTACGAAAAAAATTTAAGGTATACTAAAATGAACTTTAAAGAACCACATTATACATGTCGGGTTTAAATCTCTGAATGTGACGTCGGTTGATATATTAAGGCATCCGCCAGAAGTTGTTTTAATTTTAAATATTATAAACTTAAAAATTGATTTTGCAATAATCCATATAGGAGAAAAAAGTGAAAAACATTTTTATTTAGGTGCAACGATACATGCTATCAAATTAAATTAAAAATATTTTTGAAATAATTCGTAGCATATAAAATGTTTTTTCACAACGTTATATTAACTATTATCTCTCTAGAATGATGTACACATTTGTTCGTAAATTGTATTTGTAAATCACAGATATTAAATATCAAGATGCAAATGAGATGACGCTTGACACTTGAGTTTCAGCAGCGTGGCCCCTGAGGGATTCAGAGTGGGGAAACTGGGGTTTTTCCCCTCTCCCCTCACAGGAAATTAGTGAGCGAATCAAGCCGGGGTAGGGAATATCTTATTATTATATAATATTGATTTAAAACAAAAATGCTTGTAAATGTTTCTTTTCGATATTTTGTTTTTATTTTCTAATTAGTATTTTTTTTTATTGCTATTGTAATCATAATATAATCGGTTATAATGACGTGTACGGTTCAAGTCTTGGAACGAGTAGGTACTCTTCTTGGTCTCCGACAACCATGTTACACCTCGGCGGAATGCTATAGATAAATCCCACGTTTCGTATTCACGATGTATTATATTATCACCTGTGCAGATAGTGCTGACGCCATCCAATTCTAGCAATAAATATCATTATAGCCGCACCTATACAGGTACAGTTCGCCTAGGTCGAAGCCTCGCCGCCCGCCGCACACGAACCCCTGCACTGCGTCGGAGGGATCTATGGTAATATACGTGCACGGCGACCCTACGCACACTATTATTGTATTTAATAGAAAAAAAAAAAAAAACATCCTAGCCGCGGTGTGTACGGGGCTCCGGCGGCGCACTACAATAGCCGAGACCGAACTTGCAACCACCTAACCGACGAATGCGTACAAAAATCGAGCAAAACGTGTGCACGCGAAACGATGGGCTCCGACGCGTCTCCGCCAAACTCGATTGTGCGTAGGCACACATAATATAATATAATAATATCATGATGTCATATTATACGGTTTAATGGGTCATACACACATAAGCGTATAATATCGTCTACGGGCACGCCGTCTATTATTCGCGCGAGTAGACAAACTGTCCGCCCGCCAAAGGGTTTCGGGTATGGGTACATTGTATTATATTATTTTAAACGGATTTGCGTGCGCGTCGTCGTCGTCGTCGTCGTCGCGTATTATAATATGTAATAAAATAGACGACGGTGTTTCGACACGGTCGAGAAAAACTCATTGCATTAACGGTATACTGCAGACACAGCTGGCACTGAGACGACTGGACGGTGTATTGTGCCCGCGACTGTTCAGTATAGTATGGTGCGAGCTTTGCGCCCATCGGAAGTCTCATTGGACGATCTGCGAACGCAATTCGTGACACTTCTTTTGCACTTAAAACATATTCACATATATATATATATATTATGAGTAGTACGTATCTTATAAAATGTCATAAATCAGGAGCACGTAGAAAATAATAAAATTGTTTTTAATTCCCTGGACTTTATTAATTTATACGATATAAGTTATATATTTGAGGTGTGATGTTACGTTTTAAACATGCACTAACACGGAACACGGGAAGACGAGCCGTTCAGAATCATCGGAATTACTATTTAACCTTTTTATTATTATAATATAATAGTAGGGATGGGAAGGTGAGGATGGGTGGTAGCCTCCCAGGGCAAACTGTCCCCACCACTCCCTTGCCCCCTCTCTCACCATAGATTTTCTAATAATAATTCGATATTATCTGGTATTATAGTTTCTGAAATCCTAAACCTACCTAAATTTCTTTTAGTTTTTCGAAAATCATTAACTTTTGCTTTTGAATTATGAAGTTGATATTAAGACTTAAGAGCCTGAAAGCTGAATTTAAGTTAGGAGTTAGTACCCAAACTCATAAAAATACACCAAATTGAAAAAAAAAAACTATCACTTAGGTACTTGATTTTATACAGTTGCCGGAAAGCTACGAATTGGCCTTTCAAAACATTTTTTATTACGATTAGGTAGTATAACAATGTTCATACATCATTCAAGTGCCGGATTAGAGAGAGCTTTTTTAGCCAACGACCAATTGAAATTTATTTGAGAAATAAAATTACCAACACTATACTCAAATATAGCAGTTCCTTAAAAAAATAATAACTATTAAACTTAATATAATATCATGAGTAAT